GTAATCCTTATAAAAACTGTAACAATATATTGTTATCGATATCTTCATATATTCCTCTTCTTCTTCTTTCCTTATTTAACACTAGATTTACGGACATTTATTGTACAGTTTGTTCTATTGTTCTTAGAAAAATTGTCATTCGTTCGTTTAAATTCCGAAAATTAGAAGTTTAAACGTAGACGATGAGGATTCATATTAACGTACCTGCATTAATCAAACTCGACACAAACATTTAGCAAATAACGTTTATAAAATCCAATATGAGTCGAATTGATTCGTTCCGTAAATCTAGTGTTAACGTCGCCTAACCTAACACTTTTAACACAACAATAATTACGCCATTTTTCGAGCGCAGTATTCCTAACGTTAAAAACACGAGTTCAACGTCTGCAACAAAACGTCCATCGAAATTCATATTAACAGACGCGTATTAAGTAATGGTAACAGAAAGGAATTTCAGCAGAACACGAATGGTAATACATTTCCATTATAATTGCTAGCGACCGTTCCACCGCAGCCAAATGGAAATCGCGGTAGACACAAGTTGGTGGATTATGTAGGTATAATATTGTAGTTGCTTTGTAAGCTGGAATAGTACTACTTTCTACATTCTCTTTACAATCATCGCACGAACGTTCCGTTCCGAATGAAATTTCTGTTAACAAACTGCGATAAGAGAAGCTGCGATGATCAAATTAACGAAGTATTTCGAATGCAAAAGTAAAACCTTCTCGAGCATGAGACGCCGGAGCGAATCAAGATGACTAAGTACCGTTATTAATCAGTGGGATAGTGAATCGCAACGATGCCTCGGTGAATAAATATAAATAACCACAAAATGACTAACGAGTAGGTATTTAATCGTGTCGATTTCAACGGCAAACGAAAAAAATCGCAGCATCGTTAAGTCTAATTTCATGGAAAGTTGTTTTAACGGATCGAAACACTTTCTATGGAGAAATGGACGATGAACGCTGCGTTCCTGTCCCTCACGTGTATGGCATTTCTTTCTTCTGTTACCATTAGTTTTTTTCGCTTGCCTTTCATCTACCGACGTGCATGGCGATTTTTTACGTTTTGTTTCATCAGGGAACAGTGAATTAAGCGATATAGAACGATCTAAGGGTTTCCAACTTACGTCTTGTGGAACTCTAGAGTTTCGCTGGTGAAAGCTGAGGTCTCACGATGAAATTAGTTTATAAATTTATAACAAGCCCAAGTGTTTGCAAAATATTTCTACTAGCGAAGGCTGCGACTTTATTCTTATTTTGTGTGAAGTTGAGGATCACTGGTCGAGTGAAAACTGATCATTTCAGGACAGAATCGAACCACGCGAAGATACGCCAGTGATCTTTGCTGGATTATATACCAGTCATTTAACCTTTTCAAAAGTGATCGATGCGTTCTAAGTTCATTTTTATGAAACCTTTCACAGTTTTTGTTCGGAACTGTAACTGCTTATTCGTCTTTTCAGTTTCGATGTCTGCCTGTCAGTGTGCAGGAAGTTACGTACTTGAATGTTCGGTTTATATAACGATAGAATGTATAACGGAGATGAACTTTGTGAGAGAGGTTAGATAAAAAAATATTGATCATATTTGCAGAATAACAATGTAATAATTTAATAAAGTCATTTATTTTGAACATTGTAACAGTCAGATACTGTAACATCTATGTCTCGTATTGTTTAATATACTGTTTAATATATTTTAATATATTTCAATATATTTTAACACATTTTTATATTTTTTTATATGCTTTAATATACTTTTATATATCTTTAAATATTTTTCTTTACTTTTATATACTTTTATATATCTTTAAATATTTTTCTTTACTTTCATATACTTCTCTATAATTTTATATATGTTCATATATCTTCATATACCTCTAAATATTTTTAAATATTTTAGTATATTTTTATACATTCTTTATTCACTGTCCTGTTTCACTCACCCCATTATTTACATGCTAACGTGACCTGATTTAACACTGTTTCACTTAACTCCTGGTTTTTTTGGAATGTGTCCCCCACGTTTAACGGGGTCTTACTGTACTTTTGTACCCAAACATCCGCCAATACTTTACTTATAGAACATCTATTATTAGAATTCTCGATATCCAAGCTTCATTAATACGTGCGCTGTCCACTCTTTGAGCACAGTGCCTCCCTACAGTTTCGCAAAATAACAAGTCTCACAATATATATTTCAGAATATACATATTTCGATGAATTATTAAATTCATAGAAAACGAAAGTTATATTCAGTTCCGTAACAACTTACAAATACACTTGCACACGATTTTCTTGGACAATATTCAATTTTCCAAGCGAGTGCCATTTATTTCACTTCTTAGAAAGCCAAGGTCTATGATCTTCAACCATTGCCTTTTTCTTTAACTAATTTAACATCAGAGTAATTTTTCTTTTAAAACCTTTTCGGACATCTAATCTCATTACACGGAAGAAATAAATATAATTATTGCATGCACAATTAACCAGTTAGCTATTGCGACCTCTTTGAAAAGTGTGTACCTTATTCTGATATGTATACGTGTTCATATCTAAAAATAATTTGTTCAAAAATTTTCATTTAAATAATATATATAACCTTAGTTCTTTCGAAAATGAATATTCCCTTAACACGTTCAGTGCTACGTGTATTTACCACATAGTACAGCCCAATATTTTTAAGAAAATATTTTTAGGAGATACATGGTCACGGATAGCGGTGTACGTTACAAAGCAGCGAAAACATAAAGAAACTATATCAAAATATACAAAGATTACCAAAAACTTGAATATTACTTAATATTTCATTCAAAAAATCAATACAGTTCATAAACAAAATATAAGTGACAACACCATGGCACGGAACGTGTTAACACGTTCGTTACCAGCGCTTATTTCGGTGACAGTCTCCGCAATTGTATCTTCTTCAATCCAATAAATCTAAACAAAACATTAGAAAAATGAAACTGAAACGAGTCATTGAGTTCCTAAATATAATGTCGTAGTTTATAATTTCTAATAACAATATCTATAAGATTCATTTCATTTTCATTATGTAAAATATAGGATTACGGCCGTCACTAATATGTGACACTGGTAGCGAACATGTTAACCAATTACATGTTTTCGGGCAAGTATACTCGACACAACAAAGAAATGACGAGATTTTGCATTGTGGCGGGTATACTCGTCAAAAGCAGCTAATTGGTTAAAAGAAATATCTGTCTTGATAGCGTCTATGTCGGAAATTCAGATAAATCAATAATACAGGTTGCGATGCGACTTAACGACAGGAAACGACAAGTGGCATCAACGTTTTCGATTATTAAATCAGTATAAATTTCCCTCGCGAAGTAGCATTAACACTACGGGCCACCTGTAGGAACCACATCCTTCCTCGATCGTTAATTAAGCGTATACATCTTCGATTGCAAAAGCAATTGGAATTATAAGGATTAATTCGTTCCACTGAGTCGACAGCCTTCGTAAAAGAGGAAGAAAAAGAGACGCTTGCGCCCCGCTACTTAGACACAACGAAGTATCCTTGACACGTAATTGATGCACTCTTAAATTGGTACTTCGTACGAAGAATAGAGTCAAGATTTCGTCGCTGGTGTTCTCGATCATGTATTATAAGAAACCGTAAAATTGGCTACTTGAGTTGGAGAAACTTCGTGGTATGGTTCACGTTGTTATTAGTTGTCATTAGCTTGTAGACTCTTGACAGTAAATGTGCAGGTTGGATTCTTTGTGGAAACAGAGATAGGTAATTTGACCCTCTGATGCGTGAATTCAAAAAACAATTTAAATAAATCAATTCCAATAGAAAAAAATTATTTTGTTTAAATATATAGCTGTTGTTCTAGCTGAACATTTGTGTGGTGATGAAATTAGTAAGAAAATATTAATAAACTATGTTGTTTCAAATTTATTTTATATATATACAGGTACAAAAACAGTGTTTAAACTATAGGATATTTGAAATTAAGTTTTCCATTGAGAACGTAATTCAACGGAGGGTTAATGTTACTCGCTACTAAAATCGACAACTTCTAAAAAGCAGATTTCGTATCAGTAAATTTGTAAAGGTTGTTTATTTTATTTGTATTTCAATTTTATAGTAAGCTTCATTAATTATACAAATTTGATGGGCTAGTGAATATATTTATTTGCCCGATAGTTATTATTTAGAACGTCTATAAAATAGTAGATTTCGACGAATTGAGTTTACTGTAACTGTAAGAACGAAGAATTAAAGCGATTAGTGTAATAAAACGTGTTTCTTTTCCGGTTCCTGTGTGTGCAACTTGCAATACAGTTGCGTGCACATAAACACTGAATAATGGAGTAAGAAAGCGTATTATCGTTTTTCGAATCTTTAATTATTATTACAGTAATGCATAATTTCATACGATATTCTGCAGTGATTAGGTTAAAAAAAGACGGTAGTTTATTAAACGTACGTTCCAAAAAAACCAGACGTTAAATGAAACAGCGTTAAACGAGGCCCCCTTAACGAGTAAAAAATGTAGCATTGTTCTTTTGTTTCATCTTATAACATGAGTATATATTGTGAGTATACAGTATTCAAATAATCAAATTCTCCTTTCATTACAGCATTTCAAATTATTTTGAAAATGTTTAGTAAATATAATTCACCTGAGATAAATATCACGCCATAAAAGTATCCTTGATATTCAACAAACAGCTCAATCTTTTAATTAGGTATTAAATTTGTACGATAAAATAAATTAATCAATTAATTTTTTATGAGAATATTAAATGAGATGTATAAATAAAATCATTATTGAGTTGTGCAATAAAAATTGACAATTATAACAGTGATGCAAACTATACACTGGTTACCTAGAATTACCAAAAAAGCATTCTTAATTAATCAAGTTGTAGATTATTTTTTGTTCTTCCCTGAATTCCATAAATTCTACGAATTGATAGGTTGTTTTCTTTTACGAGAACTGCCACTTACCTGAGTACTTCGTTCTCGAAGACCTTCGGTTGTGACGAAAAGCAGCACCACCAATGCCACCACCGTGCACCACGAAAATCTCCGCACCATTCTGCGCAAAAGTAATACACATTAATCAATGAAACAAAGGTACTGATAATAAGAAGAAAAGATTGGCTATTCAGAACAAAAATTTACTATTAAATATATACATTTATTGCATATATATATATATATATTCGTTTTTATTTTACTATACTGTAATTAAGCGATCATTTTTCTAAAACATTTTAATTTTAATTTTAATTTTACGTTAAAGTACTTAAAAACATTTAATCTGTATTAAAACAAATTATAGAGAAAACAATTTTTAAAGAAATACTGTTATTTGACTTCAAGCAGTTTGTCATTAAAATTTTCATCTTTTATTAATACAATAGAAACATAAATCAAAAAATCACTTCAACGAATGCAACCTCTTAATTACCCTCTGTAATAACACATAAAAATATCCAGCATTTGTAAATACAGCATTTTCCTATTGTCTTATATCGAACATTCATTCCTCAACTAAGCTACATTCAAATGCTCCATTTTAATTTAATTTCAGAATCGAAAGAATTTTCTACACACATCGAGCACGGTCGTCCAGAAAAATTCTATCGAAGGACACCTTTTGAAATTTTAACATCTTGACATTTCAACTGTTTTCTGAAGAACAGAAAATATCAAAAGTTCAATTGAGAAAAAATGACGGAACTAAAAAACTAATTTTAAGTTAAAAGTTGTAAAATTGCAAAATGACAGCATCGGCAGAGATAGTGTGAATTACTTCCATTTCGAACACACGGTATGCAGAGGCGAATAATATATGCGCGTGCGAAAGTCGAACACTGCCTTCGAGATTTAAATTTACTTTTACTCTTGTAATTCGTGGTCCGTTAACAGTGTCGAAGATTCCTGGACGAGAACGCTGAGCGCACGGTAACGCTTATGAGATCATACTTTCGCTGGTGGAACTGCTTAACAATGTAATTAAAGCCTTGTAATTTCCGCGCCGGAGAACAGAAAATCCTTCGCGAAATTGTCTTAGATATTTAATTACCCAGCCGGCATTGTTTTATTCGAACGAGTTATTTTTACGTCATCAAGGATGAATACGGAATTATCCCCTTTGCCTCTATATCAAAAAGATCGATTGAACCTTATTTTTATCTTACTATGTTGTGTCGCCGCGCTTACGTCCCTCTCTCGTAACGAGTAAAAATAACAAGACCTAATACTGTCGTTTAATAATAACACGATCGTTCAACGTTGTTCCTCGTCGCGCCTCGCGGATTATAATTCAGCTGGTAATTGATGTAGCATGCACATGGAAGCCTAACCTGTTGTTTTAAGCTAATCCAATTCTTTCGCGGCGTGTATCGCCGGGTCGTGAATATCTTGACCGTGTTAAAGGGTAACATCTCGAAAGGAGGCCAAGGATTATTTCATCGCAGGTGGAAAGATTTCAAATATGCTTATAGACGTCCCCACCCTACTTAATGGGAGCTTAACACGTTGACTGGCACGGTGGTCGTCGGTGACCGGAGCTTCCAAATTGCTCGATAACAATAAGAATAAGAAAATTGATGTCAAATAAAAATATTTGGTGACATGAGTAGCTGGATAACATGAGTTCTGTGATAGCACATCATTAAGAATTATTTCTATTACCATTTGTCTTTGTTATGAAAGAATTAGTATTCAACGTGTTAACCACTTGCCCTATGATTTGTTTCTTAACTATGACCGATACGATTACTTTGTCGTTAATAATTTGTTAGGAAAGGAGAGAATTTTTATGCTTACTTTATATCCATGTTTACTTGAAAGGTTAACAGTTGATAATAGATAAGTAATATTCAATTGATATTTAAACGAAATAAGTAACATTTAGATTTGTCAAATTGAGATTAAAATTTTCGCCACGACTGGATATTGTAGGTCAAGGGGTTAAACCTGTTGGGACGTCCTCGAAGTGCAGTTGGCAGATTGGGTTTGTAAGTATTTATCAATTTTTTAAAAGATATTTTCGCTATTTTGTTATAGTTTCGAAGTGTAATAAGTATTAGGCTGTGTTATACTTCGAAAGTGTAATCAATCATGATATTTTGCTTGGGATTATTCGTTAAGAATAGGAATTTGAAGAAAAATATATATGAAAAAGTAGGTTGAATTTTCAGAATTGAGTTTAAGTTGTTTTAAAAGATTTCAAATTTCAAATTTTCATACTTTATATTTTCAAACTTAAACTTTCGAACTATACATTTGCAAACACAAAATTTAAAATTTAAGCTTTGGAACTTCAAACAATTCACACACATATCAAACAATTTATATAAAATCTGCATTTCTTAAACCGAATAAATTATTGTGTCAATTACATAATTTTCAAACTTCAGACTTTTAGCATTAAAAAGTTCATTCACGGTGTAACGAAATTTGTTTTTGGAATTTTTGTAACTTATAAACGATAGTTCAAAATTACAAACAGAAAACCGTAAGAGGTCCCATCAAAGTACCGCATAGGGATACACGAGTGAAATGAAATGAATCGCATAACTGGGTAATAGACACTGTTCATCAAGGTTGACAAACAGTGATATAGCGAAATCGTCAAGTACGGTAAGCCGAGTCGTGACGATCGTGAGCTCTCTCGATCCTCTTTCCTCTTTAGGCATAAAGATCGCTGAGTAGAGGAGGAAGATCAAGATCAGCCGCGGATCGACGACCGTACTCGAAATACCGTTAGACTCGATTGCGTTGCATCGCGATTCATTAACATCGCCCATTCATGCATTTCTTGTGGATTTTTTTGAACATTCGAACCGTGTCATGACTCAACTGTTAATGTGACCACTTTAATATAAATATATAATTCTAAATCGTGATGTACCGTCTATGGTAATTTACAATTACTTAACTGTGTAATTTGTAACTTATTGTATCACATTTTTTTAGCGATAGGAATAAATGTAAACAATTTTTATGGATTTTTTACAAAATTTCAATACCATAATGAATATTCTAATAATTTATAGTAAGACAAATATCAAGTAATATTATATTATAGAATATTAATATTTGCTTCATTGGACAAGGTTTCTAATTTTTAATTTACATAAACTTTTTCTCAATTGAGATATATGTAAATCCACATTTAATTTACGTATGAACATTATTTTCTTAGATTAGCGAATATAATACATTATACAATTGTGAGGCAGTAGTAGAGTTAATTTCGAGATGGACAAAAATTTGAGGACACTGTCCATATGCAATTGCTGAATCAATGATCCAATTTTCTGATACCTCATACGTTCGATAATTTATGACATTGTAACAACTTCACAGAAGCTTAACAATTATATTAGACTAAACAACATCGTTAAAAAATAGTTTAAAACTATAACAAACATTTTTGCGAATGGAACATGGAATTTAATGCAACAATATAGAAGATGTCCAGAAGTCGCTACAGTGACAATATGGAAAAATAATTAAAACGAGTAAATTTATTATACTACAAAAGATCCATTTCATTCTTCACAATTCCTTTCTCATTTCAAAACGAAACTTACTTAACACGCTTTGTATATGCACACGCGTAAATTCATTGTAAAATATTCATTGTAAAAATCACTCACTGTAAAGTAATAACAATTCTACGAAGCTTATAAACTGTATTAAAATTATTTCAATGGAATCTGAATATTTTGAAATATTCTATGTACAAAAATCAAGTAAATTTCATTAACTATAGCACAAACAAAGGGAACGTCGATGCAGTCCTTTGATCAGCAATTAAACGTCGATATTATAACCTAGAAAGGAGGTCTATTAATTCCTTAGTAACGTATTACGATCGCCAACTAAAAACGTTCTCGGGAGCAACAGTTCCAGCGTCGATTCCTTTCCACGATCGTTCATGCGCACGAATCTGTTACGCGCGAATCGAAAGTAAATTCTCCTCCGAGCTATATGCTACGGTCACACGTATCAGGTTGTGCTCGCGATTGTAAAGCATATTCCGTACTGGACAAATGCGCGAACATTTCAGCCATGACTAATAACAAACTTTCCATTTCTGGTAAACATCGTTTGTTTAACGTTACCGATGTCTCACGATACGCAATTAAAGCCTCGTAACAGTATGTTTGCTTAAAGATAGAAACCTATGAATAAACGTTCAAATTTCTTTCTGAAAATATATAATTCGAAAGTAGTTTACTTGACGAATGTACGATTATTTAAAATAATATTGTATTAAAGTAACAAATGTAATTCAGAGAGTAAATCAAAGTTATTTGGTTCAGTTATGGTTTAATATGATACGTTAATAATTTGTTTAAAACCATTTAAAAAGTATTGAAGTAGTACTTAATTTTATATGATACAATTATGATAGTACAAATAATTATAGTAAGAATTTTTGAAAAGAGATATTAGAATGAAATCGAATGTCAAGTCTGCATTGATATAAGATTGATAAGGGCCAAAAGAAATTTTTTTTATTACAATGATGTCTCGATAATTCGGTTTTGAATGATTTAAAGGGAATCCAAATTTTGGATAATTCAAACTAATGCGAGGAAAGTGTGAAGAAATGAGAAAGATAATATTGTCGGCGACATCTTGCCTTTTTATAATCATCGCCCCTTTCAGTATGATATTTCATCTTCTTTATTAATCTTGCTGGGAAAAGAAAGCACTGAGATAAAGAGTGTTCACTTCGTGAAAACACTTGCTCTGGGTATAATATATCCTTTGTCCGTCCTTCCCTCCAGGGTTTTCTAGCTTCAGGCTTATTAAATGAGAAATAGAAGCAGCTTTTGTTTGATCCGTGTAATATCCGACAAAACTTTGATTAACGACTACATTAATGAAGTACCATTATTATTGACTACATTAATGAAGTACCATTTGAAACAAATGTTATTGAAAAGCTGACAAAGAAATTAATGTTTTCCATCTAATTATATTAATTATAGTTGTACAAAATTTAGAAATTGGAAATAGAAAATTAGATTTGAACATTTGTGTATCAAACAATTTCATCGTATTGACTGC